GGAAAGAGAAAAAAATGACAAGAAAAGTATTCAAACCTGATTTCTGAGCTTTGAAGCAGTTCCCATTTCCATTGATTCCAAATCATGTTTTTCAACCAATCAGATTGAGGAACACTCAACAGTTCTGGTGAGGGGAAAAAAGCTCACATAACATGTGCGCACAAGTCACACATTTATTCAACAGATTCCTTCAAGCTCAGTGAGAAATTGATGAAAGCATATTGCCTGAAATCTCAATCAACGATCAAGATTGATCCCTAGAGCATGATGACCCTACTCTGACAGGCACTGAAGATGATCAGTGCCGTGGCCAACTCCACTACATGGAGGAACAGCAAGATAGGCTTGTTTAAAAAACCCAAATCAATGGAACATATGACAACCTGAATGGACAAAAACAATATCAGGAAAGAGAGGCTCTCTCAATAATTCCCAAGCTGCCATAAGATTTACTGTTGACATGACAAATGGTAACGTGAATGATTCAAGAAGTTGCACATACAAGAGTGAATAGTTAGCTGAAACAAGTTCTCAAAAGTGTACATTTATAAAAATAGAAAATGACTTCCATCTCACAGAACTTGGCAGGAGACAAGCAGCATTAGACATATAAGTTCTGCAGCTTGTAACCATGGGAACAGACTCAAGACATATGACTGAAATGTACAGAAGAAACTGATGTGCAGATATAACCTTACATTATATTACACTCAAGTCAATTATTCTTTTCTGAAGTTTGAAAATCAGTGTTTTTCATGAAAAGTTCTTTTGATGAAAGTAAACTACCAAAGAAACTTGCAATATTACATTGTACTTTCCAGTTTTATTATATATGTTTTAAGGACAAAGAGCAACCTTTGTATCTCGTCCATTTGTGAATTACTTCCAATATGGTTTGTTTGTTTGATGTTTAACGCCACACTCAGCAATATTCCAGCTATATGACGGCGGTCTGTAAATAATCGAGTCCGGACCAGACAATCCAGTGATTGACATCATGAGCATCGATCCACACAATTGGGATCAATGACATGCATCAACCAAGTCAGCGAGCCTGACCACCCGATCCAGTTTGTCGCCTCTTATGACAAGCAAAGTCACCCTTAACGGCAAGCATGGGTTGCTGAAGAGCTATTCTACCCCGGATCTTCACGTGTATCTTCCAATACGACAGTAGATTAGCCACAGATGTTACGACTATTAAAGAGACTACAAGACTACAGCAAGAGGCTACAGATCCTACACCACTGAGTGATCATAAGTCCTTGAACTTGTGAGCCACCCACAGGCCATAGTCTGCCAACAGTCAAGAAAGAGTCACCAACTCACAAACTGAACTTTCCAAACAGCCTGGGATTAAACCTTAAACTATGACAGTTTCATCAAAGTCTGATACATGCCATTAACCACGAACTGACCTGTTAAGTCTGTAAACATTCCTATTTATCTTCCTATGACTTTTACCTATATGACAGAGAGGGTATGAACAGTTTAACCACAGCCCCAAGCAATCAGTCAACTTCATATTTCTCTTATGGCCAAGGCGAAACATCATCTCACGATGACTCTCTGACCTCCTTAACTCAACAAGGTCAAGGTAGAGGCCATGTTCTTGAAGACTAATTATAAATCATAAGAAACATGATCAATAGGTCAGAGTGTGAACAGATGTATTAACGTCAGCCATGTCCCAGTGTTTCGCCACCAGTTCAAAGTTTGAGTTTTTAACTTCATTAAGTCTAGTATCTAAAGCTCAACTAATATCTTAAGTCCATAAGCTGAGGCTTGAATGTAATTGCAAGACAAGTTCGGGCCTAGGCTTTTTATGTGTCACAATTGTTTTTCAGGTATTTGATTAAAAAGACCCACCATGATTTAATAGTTGGCCCTTCAAACCCATGTCAAAGGGTGTGTTAGGCAAAGTCATATCAATACTTGACCCAAGAAAACCCTGGGTAAGTCCTTTGTATTGATATAGCCCTAACAAAAGAATATTGATGAAAACGTTTCATATCACCATGATCACAAGTTTAGTTGTCATGAATTAAGGGCAACTGCACATTTTAGTATTGATATATATACTCAAATGTATCATGCTAAATTGATGATTAATAAAATATATTATTCTGTATGCATACATTCAGTATGCAAGGAGAAGCTGGTCAGTCCAGTTATCGGGCCAGTTTCATATCCCAAAGATGACCAAGGAAGTTATCAGGATTAAAAAATAAGTTGGACTTGTTGATTGATATCAATGCGGGATCAACATGACCAATAAATATGGGGTTAAGTCTGAATTAATTCCAAACAAGAGTTTGCCACTAACGTGGCTATATCCCCCGCCCCTGTTGCACAATTTATGACATAATTAAATCTAAACAAACCCTAACCTTTTTTAACTGAGGTGGAACTTGAAATTGTAAAAAAAAGAAGAGTTTGGAACCTAAGTCCATCTTGCTGCCATGGAAACGTAAAAAATAAAAAAATCTAAAATTTAAAATATTGACCGGTTTCTGAGTTATGCTCCGGAAACGAAACGTGACGGACAGAGCCCGTTTCTATATCCCCCGCCAACTTAGTTGGGCATGGGATAATTAAGTGTATTGGGTATCGTATTGTGCAAAGTTTGCCGACGATGCACCAGTGTACCACGACATCACTGGATGTACACTTGTGTATTGTATAAAACTCTGTGATGATGTCACTGTGGAGTTCTGTCAACGTCACTTACAAGTTCCCAACTAGTGGTCAACATGATCAAGAGGGAAGCTGTTACAAACAGAAAAAAATGTGTTATCAGTTGACCTGAAATCGGTCTTATGCATAAATCTTACATAATATCATACAGGAAGTTTTCTCGCATTCCACATGGATAATTTACTACAAATCATGTTACATGATCTTCCCGAGGCATTACGTGGTATATATGCAGGAATGCTTGTGCTTTGAATGCAGAAAATATATGATAGCATCCTTGTGATCCTGACAACAACAAAAAATGCCTGAAGAATGAACAAAATATTTCACATTTTACATGAAATTAATTATTTATAAATTATCAGTCATTATCAGACAGGATTTGTTGGTTTGAAAGTATGCAACCATACTGGTAACACATGAAATTAGGAATGGTGAATATCAACAACTTGTTTTTGTATCCTGCAGTTTTCATTACATGACATGTTAGAATAAACCTAATATTTTCCTTTAAGTAATTGACATGATGACTTTGAAAATAATGTTTTTATTCTGTCTAATGTTTGTACACTAAATTCACTCAAATACTTCATAATTTAACAATGTGCTGTTGTTTGCCAGATAAAAAATAAGATATTGGAGATATATTCCCCAACAATTTCAAATCTTACGTTACGTTAACATATGTTTCAGGACATTTTTTCATAGCAACGTGTCTTTTTTTCTATCAGGAATAATCGTGTGAAATATTGGTTCATCAAAACCTTGTTTATTGAAGCCTCATCATCACCCACACTCTCTACAGCACCTTAAAGTGAAATAAAACCCAGCAGGCAGGGCTGAGAAGTGAGCAACTTATTCAGAAGGCTAAAGGTTAATAAACACTAAGTTTAATAGGATACTGTCATTAATGGTCAACATTTAAGTTTAACTATGTCACATCTTAGAATATAATGTTGACATAGCAATTTGTCGACACCATGGTAACATGGACACTCACATATTTTATCAGGATTGTTAGAATTCAGTATTGGAGCTCCCTAATCCCATAGTTATTCAAACACAGTTAACCTCAGGCCTTCCATTCAACTTGGTCATCTTGTGGCCCCTATTTGAAAAAAACAATCTTTTTGATGGCAATTGCTCCTAAATCTGTTAAAATAACCTTTCTGATATCATGTTTGTTTTCATGGCAACCCAAATTCTCCAAATATATGTTTTAATTCATATTCGTGGCATGCTCCTTGGCTGAGAAGAAACATCAGGTATATAATCCCCAGGTGAAACACACAAAATACATCAAAAGCAGTGCATCTTTAATATGTTAATGAGATTTTCTATTGCACATATTCTTATCTTACATTAATTTGACACCACGAATATTGCTCTGGTTTTGACACAAGAGTTATTTCATTACAGAGCCACTCTTCTTCAACGGTTGTACACATACCTTGTGCAAATCGTAGTTAACAAATATCATGTTTAAAATATGTGTAATGTTATATTGATTGGAGGATGGTATGGCGTCGTTGGGACGTGCCCAAAATAGACGGAGGAGCATGCGATATGAGAGGACTTACATCAAAGCTAATAGTATGATATATATTCTCACACTTAAGGATTTCAGCGAAAGAATGAGAAACTGTGAGACCACCTTGAAAGATCCTGAGGCTAAGCCATCTGGGCCCCAATCAGTCCAGTACTAGTGGGTTCCTATCTCTTCACATGACGTAACAAAATGACCTAACTGTATATTAGAGTGGTGGAGGGAAATTGAGAGTTATGCTGTAATCAAGCTAATTACATCTCCAATTAACATGGTCGTAAATTCACTCGTGCATGTCTGTGTGTATCTGGATGATCATAACACACCCGGAAACAACACCACATAGTGTCTGAAATTAGAATGTATGTCACAGGGAGCTGGAGTTACAAAATCAATTTCAGTAGGGTACGTCCCGTGACTAAAATACAATATTATAAGAAAAAAACTCCCCACTTTCTAACTCTGTATATTATACATGTATGTTCAATAAACTGAGGACGCTGAAGTATAACACGTTGTCGCCTTACCCCACTGCAGCTACAGAATGTAACATTTATAGTAAATGTAAGCAACATGGCAGCCATGTTTCTTGTGCTTCAAGCCAACATTTTAAGGACACCACAGCCATTTTTGTAAAGTAATCTACCTCCAAAATAATTTGAATATTGATATTCTGCAGTTGGCAATGAAGACAGGGGAATTTCTTACAAATCATTTTTGTCAATTGCATTGATAGAACTGAAGGAAGTGACATTACCAATAGTTTAGGATGACTGCGCTGACTAAGGTACCACTGAGTTGGTCAGTCTGACTAGTGGGCAGAGAAGCAAGATGCAGAGATCTACAAAACATAACAATAACCGTTTCAGATTGAAATTACTTTGATGTATATATGTAAATATATGATTATGATTTAGAGACATTATTTTTTTCTGCCGTTATTTATCAGCCATGTACAAAAAACTGCTAAAGGTTCACAGACTGTGTTGCCAATAATGTACACACATTTTAACAGATGGAAACCTGAGAAAATATTGTAAAGGTAAAAGGAACATACGATTTTGACAGAACACTATAGAGCTGCTGGGTACTGCAACTGCCAGGTGCGTGTCAGTGCTGTAACTTACACAGGTACGTGACATAACACACACACACACAACGAGCAGGCCAGGGGAATAGTGACAGTATTGGGGAAGTGGATTCAACAATAATATCAAATATCAGTTGCAATGGCCTACAACATATACGTGCCCAGTACCACTCTAGTGTTAAAATAAAATAAAACTACATGTTATGCTCGAGATTGCGTGATCGTGCTGTGGTCCCCGCTTTCTCATATGATTCATACACATCTTTAACCTGTTTTCATTTTATCAGCGAAATCATGTCCCAAGTAGGTCGTCCCGTTTTACACTATCTAGCCGCCTCTTCATAAAAAGGTCGACCATGAACTTTCGTGTACACTGTCTGTCTCTAAAACAGTAAAATCAGCCGTTGTCATAAAAACTGCTTATTCAAAATTCGGTCACCAACAACGTAAGTTACAGGATATTTCTAAGTCGTCTACAATATTTGACGTGTCATCAAAGATCAAGGCATATTTTGTAAATGTACTCCATTCTGGTATATCTCAAGGCAATAGTGTAAAAGAATAGTACGAACCTGGATCGCAAAAGTTGTTTTTAAAAGGTATATCCAGCAATAAACTTGACAAGTTTGTTGATCACTACATTCCAGACTCCATTGCAGATGGCGCTGTCCGACCTTCACCCTGTCCCCTGGCTAACCTCAGTCACATGGCACTGATAATCCGCAGCGATACCGTATTTAACTGTGTGAAATATTACTGTTACACAGCACGGCGGCTACCGAACAGCACTTTATTCCTATTTTGTACTAAACAAATCTACTACTCTCCAGAAAGCATGCTCAGTTTGAATTCATGAAACTTACAGTGGTCACTCAGACCTACATTTTTATGCGTAATTGTATCAAGAACTAAACAGGTATAGTTTAATTATTTAATAAGATATTATATACTTTATGTATAGTCCCTGTTTGTATCAGTTTATCAACATCAACCGAAGCAACTCGTCCGTGAGACGCGAAAATAAGTAAGCTTGATGATCACAACTTATACATTTACGTGTAGGCAGATATTCTTTATCTTTTAGTGAATTAAACACTACTATTTACGGTATGACAGAGAACCAGTGGCAACCTAGGATTGTGACGTCATTGCTGACCAGTACTGTTATTATCACACTGTCGTGAGCTATTGTCGGTCAACAATACGTGCTCGGGTCACATGACGTAACATACGCTACCGTGACGTAATGTTGCCCGGTGGCGTTTTGAGCTTGGTCGTGCATTTGTTCTTCGAAGGGGAAAGAATAATGAACCGACACTGGATATTTGTTCTTGCCTTTCACTCGTCGGGAACGGTGGGAGCCTTGGGGGGACTGGTGTTTGTGGAGGGGAGATACGATCTTTGTCTACTAGTATACAAGCGATGTAGGAATGCCACTTGCAATGTTGTTATTGGGTATTTGCACACGACACGGGCCGGAGGGAGAGATAGTGGTGGAGGTTTGTGTAATGTTTTAAAACAAATAATGTTATGTTAGATGTCTTTTAAATGATAATTTGTTTTTTTATTTGAGTGTGGGGTATGCTAAGAAAGAAGTTGATGTAAAGGTTGATCGATTTTAGAAAATATGCACACTAAATTTGGAAAAAGTATGCTTCGTATCCGTAATTTTCATGTTATCCTTTACTAGGGGCGAGGGAAAAAATCTCCAAGAGTCAACAACCACCACCACCACCACCACCACCACCACCACCACCACAACAACAACAACAACCATAACAATAAATTTTGTTTGTTTGTTTAACGCCGCACTCAGCAATGGACCAGACAATCCATTGATTGATATCATGAGCACCGATCCACGCAATTGGGATCGATGACATGCATCAACCAGGTCAGCATAACAATAAATTAGGTTAGTTCCTACAATAGTAGAGCTTATCCTCGTCTAATACACGTTGTACAAAGCTAACCCCACTGGTTACTAAAGTACCATTTCATGCAAAACTATGACTTTAATTCGATTTATTTATTTTATACATCAAACACTTTTAAGTAACCAATACATTCGCCAAAATTTGCAAAGACGTGTGGCAAATAATAATTGTATCGATAAATGTATAAACTAGAAAATAATTATAAACACATGTCCCAACAAAATGTAACTGAAGGGTTTAACTATGAAATTAGTACAAAAGAATTAAATGACATGTTTTGAAATGTAAGTAGCATGTAATAAAAAAAATATGATATCGTATATAACAAATAGCTTTGTTTGTTTGTTCCATCCATATGACAGCGGTCTGTTAATAATCGAGTCTGGACCAGACAATCCAGTGACTGGCATCATGAGCATCGATCTACACAACTTGGATACGATGACATGCATCAACCAAGCCAGCGGACCACCCGATCCCGTTATTCTTTTCTTACGTTGGTTGGTTTGTTGTTTTAGGCCGCACTCAGCAATATCCCAGCTTTTTGATTGCGGTCTGTAAATAATCGAGTCTGGACCAGACAATCTATTTTAACTACCTTGGTCTCGGTATATGGTCGCAAGTCAGATTGAACAAGGGGTTCACTGTCAGCATGAGTTCACAGATCAGTGAACAGTCAAAACCAATTTAGCGCATTCCGTGCGAATTTCTACCTGTGTAAATAGAAATTGAAGTGCGTTTTACACTGCTTTAAACAGCACCACAGTTTACATAACAGCGGGGGACAACATGAGTGCACGGGCTTCACACACTCTGACCACCATCCATGCGGGGCCTAAGCGATGTGTACCAGGCTACCTCACCGCTGAGATCAGTCGCTGTGCTGGTGGCTCATCACACGCCGTCGACAGTGCTCGGCGTTAGGCCACACAGTTTCTTCTCCGTCATCACCGACCATCCCAAACAATCGGCCCGACCCTTCCATTCCAGTATCAAAGAGTATTTGTTCCTGTCGGAAATTGTTCCTTTGTACTATAATTCTAGAAGGGAATTATTTTGTTTTTACTAGAAATTTTTCCACGATACATTTTACACTGGTAATATTTGTTCCGGATGGAACTAACTCCACGTGGAAATGATCAGCTTTGATACCAGCTCTCCATTTGAAGATTTACTGTCCATTCCAAAGTTTCACTGTTTCATGTAGGCTGTCATGACAAGTACTGGCGTTCGTGAATTTTCAGGCCACATAAATATAGTCTGTACTGTTTTAAATCATTGTTTTAAGTAACTACGATTTTGAATTTAATAGGTCTTGTTGGGAAACCGAAATAAAAATAAATGTACTGCCTGGTGAGAGTGCGATGAAGAACACGACTATAGTTTAAAATATATTGTTATCATTTACACTCCTGACTTAACGTAAAAAGCAAATCACCGTTACTTCAATAGAGCAAGGAAGGAAGTTGTGCCTGACAAATAAAACACCACTTGTCACTCAAAGCAAAGTAAACACACTGTACGTAAAAGTATATACAAGGTCTGCAATTGCCACATTATTTAGCGCTTCAAACAAAATAAAACCGTTTGATCTAAAGTGCTCTATTCAAACGCACAAGTAGTTTGTTTGATAAACACTTGACATGTAAAAACCGATTATTATCAGGATCAGTGCCACTTGTACATGTAATTAACATTATATATTGGAAGCCACAAGTCTTGTGGAGAGTTGCGTCCCTTAGGCGTGCCAGAATCCCGTGGTCGTGGTTTGAATCCCACATTCGCCTTGATTATGATTCTTGGTTTGTCATCACCAGTAGCGTTACCATGCTCGTCAGATAACTAAACTGGTAAACATGGTAAACGTGTATACATATTAAGATTTTTTTACTTTCATTCCACAATAAACCGACGCGTCGTGATGTAACTGAAATACTGTTCAAAGGCGTTAAATCAACTCACACACTATTATGTTCATGGATATATTTTGTAAACACAGGTAAGTGATAAGCCTAGTTTAAGTCCATGTTTTTAAATCCTTATCGTCTAAAAATATGCTTGAATATTTTTGCATCAAAACGAATTGGGAACAGATATGAATTACATCACAGTCTCAATACAATTTAGCTTTCCGACACCACACCGTGTAAAGTAAGGTATTTTTAAAGGGACCGGTTTGCAGCCGCTTGCAACACGACTTTATATATATTTAGTCAAGATGTATGTAAGGAAAGCCCCCACCAAGTCTAGCCTCAAGTTCTGAGTAAATGAAATGTGTTTTACGCAGCTTTCAAGAACATTACATCAACATCCCTACATCACAACACGAGTCACCAGCGATGGACACCACCCACTGTACCCAATGTGGGGAATCGAACCCGGGTCTTTGGTGTGATGGACGGACGCTTTAATTTTTTTGCTAGCTTATCCTTAACTGTAGAATGGGTAACTTGTTTACATGGTTAACACACGTGACTTAATCTTCATGGGTAATACAACTAACATCTCATTCAACGCCACCATAAAGACTTCATGAAATCACTCGTAACAGATACTCATTCACCCTTACGCACCTATACCTGCAACAGATACTCACCCGTTGACAGTGTATGCGTCTCAGGGTGCATCGGGAACATGCGCTCAACCCCCCCGTTCAATGTTGTATTTATGAACTGTCTATATCAACTATTGTGGTCTACAGAACTGTCTATATCAACTATTGTGATCTACAGAACTGTCTATATCAACTATTGTATCTACAGAACTGTCTATATCAACTATTGTGATCTACAGAACTGTCTATATCACCTATTGTGGTATACAGAACTGTCTATATCAACTATTGTGATCAATAGAACTGCCTATATCAACTATTGTGGTATACAGTACTGTCCATATAAACTATTGTGGTCTACAGAACTGTCTATATCAACTATTGTGGTATACAGTACTGTCCATATAAACTATTGTGATCTACAGAACTGTCTATATCACCTATTGTGGTATACAGAACTGTCTATATCAACTATTGTGATCAATAGAACTGCCTATATCAACTATTGTGGTATACAGTACTGTCCATATAAACTATTGTGGTCTACAGAACTGCCTTTATCAACTATTGTATCTACAGAACTGTCTATATGAACTATTGTGATCAATAGAACTGCCTATATCAACTATTGTGGTATACAGTACTGTCCATATAAACTATTGTGGTATACAGTACTGTCCATATCAACTTTTGTGGTCTACAGAACTGTCCATATCAACTATTGTGGTCTACAGAACTGTCTATATCAACTATTGTGGTCTACAGAACTGTCCATATCAACTATTGTGGTCTACAGAACTGTCTATTTCAACTATTGTGATCTACAGAACTGTCTATATCAACCATTGTATCTACAGAACTGTCTATATCAACTATTGTGGTCTACAGAACTGTCTATATCAACTATTGTGGTATATAGTATTGTCCATATAAACTATTGTGGTCTACAGAACTGTCAATATCAACTATTGTGGTCTACAGAACTATCTATTTCAACTATTGTGATCTACAGAACTGCCTATATCAACTATTGTATCTACAGAACTGTCTATATCAACTATTGTGGTCTACAGAACTGTCTATATCAACTATTGTTGTCTACAGAACTGTCTATTTCAACTATTGTGGTCTACAGACCCGTCTATATCAACTACTGTATCTACAGAACTACTTATATCAACCATTGTATCTAC